TGCTGCAATAAACCTTAATTTTGAAGCCAATACACAAAATTTCAAAAAAATTTGGCCATTTTTGTCTTAATCTTCTGAAGAAAAGTGCAGACTATAAACAGGACTATTTTGTGAACAGGTGGTGAAAAGATTAACACTGATACAGTTTCACTCAACCTAACTATGTAGTTTTAGGCAGATACGTTAGTATACCAGTGTCAGTTGTCTAGGTCACCTTTGTGTTGACTAATTGTTTGTAAAAGATTGGAAAACATGTTTTTCATTCACATAAACACAATGGAGTATAAACATATGATTGATAACATTATGGTATCTGTTAAGTACAATATTTCCAAAAGATAAGCTTTCTGATTGCAATAAATCACAGCTGGTCAAAGTTTCAGCATTAATTAATGTACAAGCTGTTTGTGTATATGACTTGTTGCGGCAATGACCTTGAATTTAACACATTAATTAAATGAAACTTACTAGTTTTGTTGTGATGTTGATATCTGCATCATTTTCTAATAATATTTTGACCGTGTCCACATCCTCATTTTCGTAGTGAATCATATCTTTAGTGATTTCTGCAGCGTAATGTAGAGGGGTTTCACCTTCCTATGAATAGTACACAGTGTAAACCTTATCAGATATCATTTGGCATCTTACAATGTTGCCATAACAATGACTCGATTTGTAGATCAGGTAAAAAAAATCAAGTAAAAAACAATCTTTGCCAGCCAAGGTTTGTTTATTCAGGCATTACTCTGTACTCTAACTTTCCTACCATTTTATGCCCTGTGTTAGGTTAACTATGATAAAGTGTAAGTTTAACAGGTTTCCTATACTACCCATGTATTCTATAAGCAGGTGATTTGAATACAACATTTACAGTGAATCAGTTCAAAGTGAATCAAGTACATGAAACATGTGTGATTCCTTCATGTCATTGGTTCATTGTGCTTTTATACAAAGAGAGTTACATAACACACATTGTAGTGCAACTCGTGATGAGGCTGCAGAAAAAACATATAAAACACGCCAAGTTTACAATATCACTTCATTAAAGTATAGCTTGGATTTTAACAGTAGTTAATGACTTGTTTTGGGTCATGTCAAAGGATCAGTCAAGAATGATTTCTAGAACCTCACACCTTAAGCTGTTAACTATTGCTAGCATCTGAGTAGCTGTCTTTTAACTAAGTGATTAATAGAAACTAGTTAACAAAAAGTGTTCGTGATAATTATATGATGGTTAAGGCAGCTTACCACTGTCTGCATGTTTATTGCTAACACTGATTCAACTCTTGACTTCTCTCGGTATAGGTATGTTGTTAATTCATTAATAATCTCCCAGTGGCAGTGTCGTACTGATATATGCAAAGGATTCTCACCAGTCTGATAAAAAAACACAAGTTACCTGATATTATCACACAATACAAATAATAGTTTTAATGTGGTATAATTTATGGAGTGTTTTTGTTCAAGAGATTCAAGTCAAATTTAAAATTATATGTCATATTTATCTCAGGGTTCAGGATATCAGAATATCCAAAATGGAAAAAAAAAATATTTTGATATGTTTTTATTAAGATTTGTATCAATATCCATATATGATTTTTTCATCTCATGTTACTGAGCAACATATTGAGACATGAAGAAATAATTTCACTATAAAAATCAGTGCAAAAGTGTAGTATTTTGACCATATTTTCTGACATTTTGGAAGTTTTTCAAAAATTGATTAGTGACAGTGATTTTTTTTTAAATTTCAGTACATTAACAGCATTAACCCATGATAATGAAAGCATTAAAAAAAGGAAAATAGTCTTTAATTTACTTTAAGTTAATTTAAAGCCACATTTCCCATATGTGAATCTTTTGCTGAATTGTCAATGACAACAACAAACAGTTTTCAAACCAATGAATATTTATGCTAAACAACAACAAATGATGGTGATGACAGGGCACCAATTATCACTATGGGAACCAATCACTATAGAAACCAATCATTATACATTATATAACTAACCTTAGATTGACAGAGTGTATCTCCAAATTCTTCCAATAACGCTTGCATCATTTTTAGCTGACCATGTCTTGCAGCGATATGCATGGCTGTCTCACCATTCTGAAAATATACATGACTCAGTGAAAATCATTAAAAAAAAAAAAAAAAAAAGGTTTTCTAACCACTTTTTTTCTACTAAAAATATTAAATTATTTGTTAAAAATAGAAAATTGATGATATTTCTATGAAATGAACAGAGGTCTAGCCAAGTACCTACAGTACCTACATATGAAGGTAATCTGTCCTCAATGCAAAGTGAATAATAGCAATTTTTACTAAAAATGACAGAAATATTCAAATCTGAAAACAATAACCCAAGATACATTTGTAGAGTACTCTCTTACTGGTACAGCTGTCAGCTTTTAAGAAGAAGTCGAAAATATAAAGTTAATGAGAGCAGATGGCCAAAGACGATGATGATGATGATGATGATGATGATGATGATGAACAATCAACCAGTAATATGAATTAACAACTGTGCTTTGTCAACAATGGAGATAATAAAGTTTTTTTATTAAATGGCATATTTGATAAAATTGTTATTATATTCTGTGTTATTTTAGCACTAATCCAACTTTCTCACCTCTTGTGCTGCGTTGACATCAGCTCCACTTTTTAACAACATTTCCGCTACTTTTTCCCCTTCTTTAACCCTAGCTGCTATATGTAATGGTGTTTCACCCGCCTATACAAACATAACATACAGTTATTTGTAATAAAATAGAATCAATTGTTATCTGAGAAAGACGCAGTAGGTTTGTATATGACATAACCTCCTAATATCATGACAATGCATGTCATATGACCAGCCAATGAGCAAATATATACAAACATTATTCAAAAAATAACCTAGATGAAAACCTCTATCTAGTTATAACAGGTACTGGTAGATTAATAAAGTAAATTTATTATCCTTCAACCCTTTAAATAACAATATATCAGATTTAATCTTACCTTGCCTCCTTTTAATTGAACTTGAGCACCGTACCCTAACAAGGTTTGTACAACAAATGGTTTGCAATATTGCACAGAGATATGTAATGCTGTATAGTTGTCCTGGAAACAAACATAGTCAAACCAACAGTCATTGGAAATGAACAACCTGATAAAAATAACTATCAATATATATTTTAGTAATTTATAAACAAAAGTTTTTAAAAGTATCTTGTATATTTAGTAAGAAATAATAATTAAAAAAAATATCTCATTTGCTTCTCTCCATATATGCGAATTTTCTCCAGAGAAATTTATATCCACTATCTATATTTGTAACAACTGAAAAGAAAATACAGACCTTAGTTTTGGCATCAACAAAGGCACCTTTTTGTAATAATGATTTCACAACGGCATTATGGCCTCGTTTAGATGCTGCATGTAAACATACTGCCCCTGCCTGCAATTAATGTAAATCAGAAATGTATTTAGAGTGTGTGAATTAGTATCCTACACATATTGTTTTAGTGTTTCCAAATGTTGGCAATCTTGTTTAGATCAAAAAATTAATAACACACCAGTCATAAATGTGTTGATTATGACATCTGGGTTGACTCTGTTAAGTTCTGTTCTATCCATACACAACCGAGACATGCATCAAAGTCTAATAATGTCCAATGTATGTACTAAATTAATCATCCATTAACTAATGATAGGACATGAAACCTGAAATTATTCCAATGCAGGGAATACATAATTATTCAGCTATTTGAGGTTAATACCTTATTTGGCATGTGCAGTGGTACGCCTTTCTTTAAAAACATCATTGCAGTCTCTGGATGGCCACATTGTGACGCTATATGCATCAGTGTACTGCCATCTTTGGTTCTAGCAAGAACTGACGCTTTGAATTTGTCAACCAATATTTCAACAACGCTGGTATGTCCACGTTCAGCTGCTATATGTAAAGGTGATCGGTCAAGCTGAAAAGAAAATATATACAATGTTTCAAAAAGTATGTCACACTAAATATTATCATGTGATATAGTACATCATTGCTGGGCAATATAGAATACATGATACACCTTTGACCTTTGACCTCAGTCAAATGAAGCTTATTTTGCCATTACTTCTATCAGGATATCACCTGATTCACTAATTCATGCAGCTGGTTGAATTCAATGCGAATAACATCACTGACTAGCATTATATTATAATACATTCAAAAACATCATTTGTATTGATCAACCAGATTTATGAATTAGTGATATCAACTCCAGCTTTAAAACTGAGAGCAAAATCATAATTTAACCATGATACTACTTTTACAAAACTTATGGTAATTTATGTTCATTGATATGATGTCTAAATGTGTTGTTTTATTTCAAAATGAAGTAAATGTCACTAGTATTATGATTTAATGCCATTGCACCATGCATGTATTTGTTGAAGATCTCATGTCACAGCAATAAACACTGTAAATGTACTCAATAATACATGTTACAGGGCTACTTAGTGTATCACAAAGCAATTAATACATGTTACAGGGCTACTTAGTGTATCACAAAGCAATTAATACATGTTACAGGGCTACTTAGTGTATCACAAAGCAATTAATACATGTTGCATGGGCACTTGGTATATTACCAAGTGTTTAATGTATGTTGAGGGTCATATAGCATATTGCCAAATGTTTAATGCGTGTTGCAGGGCCACTTGGCATATCACCAACAATTAATCAGGTGGCAGGGCCACTTGGCATATCACCAACCAATTAGGGGTGATCTCATATTCAAACATGCGGGTCAAACTTACGAAACCCCAAACCGCCCTAACTGCCCGAACAAAACCCAGTTTTGCGGTTCAAGCTGTATTTTTAGGAGTTTACGTTGATTTTTCAAGACCAGATAGTTGTCTCTAAAATGTGTCGATTTATTTGTATGCAAGCTTCATTTTGCGTCTTGCCTAAAAAAAACACACTTTCAAATACCGTTGAACAGAGTGCTGAATAAATTGTTTTGTTTTGATAAACTGTTACGTTCGAGTTGCAAATTGAGCAGAGGACGTGAATCAGACTTTTCATTGGGCTAGATAATTGAATCAGAATCAGAAGATGGAAATATGTTGATACTATGTTGCACTTGTGACTTACGCTAGACCGAAGACCGTCGCCCATAGCGACACAATGCACGTAGATTGATGAATGCTGGGTGACAAGGAAGAATTCTGATTGAGGTAACCAAGATGGCGTAGCGTTACCATCGACTTTAGTTTTGACACAGTGATAGAGGGACTGTGGTTTTGAGATGCCTTCGTAGAAAACAATGTTGCCATTATCGATTTAATACTTTCATCATATTTTGATAACTCACAGTCTCACAGACTTTACAAATTTAACCAAAAAACATTTTCTATGAATTTATGAACTGACATGGGCACAAACATGACTGTACTTGTTGCGGACAAAATGTACCAGTTTGCTCCATGGTAGCCCTAGACCCATGTCGTTGTGTTGAGCGGACAATATTTACATTACAAGTGTTGAGTGGGCAGTCAAGTGACCGAATATAATAAGCCCATTAACAACGCCATGGATCCAGGGTTAGCTCCATGGATAAACATATTTTACTGACTATGCCAAATATATATATACAATATAAGTAATTTATCCTACAAAGCTGCTCATTAAAATTATATTGCATTTTTTCCCAATAGAGAGGGTCTATGGTATCACTTGATTCACATTTACCGTACTCGACCGCGATAGTGCCCATGGGCCTCAACTCAGTAAATCACGATTTTTTAGGGGTGGGCGCTTACCCGAGCACCCCCCTCGAAAAAGAGTGCAAATGAAAAATTTGATTCATCAAATGACAGATTACGTCTTTGAGGGAAAATTAAATTACGAAATTAGTTGAGTCGTCATTGATTTTCACAACGAAACAGAAATGATCACAAAAAATATGCATATTTTATTACAATATTAATTACGTACCACCAGAATTTACGAAATTAAAAACAGTCGAAATCAAAATTGTCATATTATCTCCACTGACCAAGGTGTTGGGTCGTACGCAAACTCTTGATGCAATGATGCATTTGCAGATTTGACCTGCAGCAGCGTCCTTTGACCTAATGGGTCAAGTTGGTTATTAACCAATCTGAATGCTGTGTTCGACCAACGCAATTCTCGGGAAATTCCCGAAGACTTTCCGGTAACGCAATGCAGAAGTGAATTATGGATGTTGAAGTACGATCTGTTGAAATTGATTTCAGTGAATAAATGACATGGTTTTTCCAAAAAACTAGTAACTAGCCATTTTTGAGAGGTAAACAGAATATGGCATGAAATATTTACCGCATTTTACTTGTATTAACAGGTCATTGTCGAAGCGTATTTTACGCACGGTTACCGTGTTCTAAGAATTCAAAACATGTTCACATCATCGATATCCACGCTGTATCATATAAAAACGATTACCTGGATTTGTTACGCAAGACCAAGTTTTAAATTAGTTGCATTTTGAAGGGGTGGGCGCTTTGTCAAATGTGACCCCAAATATAAAAATTGCACAAAAGTGGGGGGTGGGCGCTTGCTCGGGCGTGGGCGGTAATGACAAAATATAACAAACCATCATGTCTGTAATTAATTCCAGATAACTAATTATTCACAATAAAAATTGTATTGACTTATACCAAAATGTAAGTTGTGGGAAACTAATTATTATTACCAATCACAGAAATAAATAAATATAATTTTCATCACACTTATAAATGACATGATGTAAATAGATTTGTGAAACAAATGCAAGTTTGTTTTTTATTAGCATTTACATGACTTGCAAAGACAAAAAATCGCTGCTGAAATTCTTAATAACGCTTCAAAATATAACACTCAGTATGAATATGGAGCTCCATAGTATGCATCATATTTTTTTTCCTACTGAAACCAGTATTGTAAGAAAAACCTAGGTTTTCCTAGGTCTGTCTTCTTTGTTCTCTGTTGTCTGTTTTCAGTGGGGGCGTTAATGGGCAGTTAATCTGGTTAGGTTCAAACCTACTACTAATTTGCATATTGTAGGTCAGTAGGTCTGAATAGGGCAGGCCGGGTTAACCCAGGTTTGACCCAGGTGTCCCCTTAATACATATTACCATGTTACCAATGCAAACTTACCTTGTCATAGATATTAGGATTGGCTTTAAGTTGATAAAAATATTTCAGTGTTGCTTCATCTCCATGCCAGGCGGCAAGGTGCATAGCTGTGTGTCCTTCATCCTAAAATAATATCAAAATAGTTTGTTACCATGGAAATATACACATTGCACACACTCAAATCTATAATCTCTCATGATGTTTTGCACATAAAACCAGATTTGCTAATTTTAGTTACTTCCATGATGCTTTGAGAAACCAGATCAAACTAGTTACTGTAAAATACTTTATTTTAGCTGGAATTAATTTTCACTGATTTTCGATGAGTTGAATGCAAAATACAGAAAAAAAGATATATTCACTGGATTTTATTTTCACTGAATCATTCCTTCAGCGAAAATTAATTCCAAGCGAAGTATTTTACAGTATACAAGCTGGAATATGATTGGTTGTCAATCCCAGTACTGTTTCATAATTGGCTAGTTTACCACTGAGAAGTCAATAACATACTATCTATCCAATGGGTCAATTTTAATTGGCAAGTACCTAAAACATGCTTGAGTTAAATGCAATAAACAAATGCTATCCCTGGTGAATGATAGATCACTGTACAACTATTTACTGAACACAGTAATTTGACAAAACCTATTCCATAAACAT